GTTTTTTCATATTTTTCCGCCTTTATTTGGTTACTTGTCGTTGGCTTTCGCAGAGATCCGGTTCCTCTGGAAAATTAGGGTTTTCCTAAGTTTCCTTATTTTACGGAAATCGACAGGGGTGAATTTCGGTTCCCACACCAACAAACATAAGATCTCGATAAAAGGATCAAGCAGTTCTAGCTAGAGAATCAGAGACAACATTCTGCATCCTAGGAACATAGAAAATCCTGAAGTCTAGGAAGCAAATCTGTAGGGTCGTAAGTTTTTCCAGCTCCGTTGAAAAACTTGGTCTGTCAAAGGATTCCTAAGCATCGCCATCAACTCCTTGCAATCCGTCCCGAAGCTCTGACATGGCGAATATTGAACCATATTCTCCATTGCCCACCGTAGTGCTTCCAGCTCAGAGTGCAAAGCGGACTTCTATCTGTTAAAATTACGCATACTCATCAGCTTGCTATTACCCGACCTATCATTCCAAACCCAGCCACATCCACTGAACTAGGCTGTAGCAGTCCAAGAACCGTCTACCATACAAATATCTCCCAGACTTATAGCCTGGTTATCAACGTCTATGTCTCCATGGAGTGGTATTGTATCCTGTTCATTTGCTTGGAACAAGGCTTGACACTCACTTTCTGCATAATGATCTAACTCCATCGGATCACAATCAATCCCTCTGAACAACTTATCGTTTTGAGCCTTCCAAATATACCAAATTAGCCAGGGATAAGGATCCCTTTCCATTTATGGTTCCATTATACCACTTTTCCTCCAGAAAAGGTAATCCATGTTCGCATATGTGCTCGGTAATGGAAACATGGTAGGATTGGAGGGCGTGGAAGATAGAGCCCAAACTTGCATTGCCGGTGGACACTGAAAGATTGCGTGAGGCACTGTTTCTTCAGGTTCTCCACATCGTGGACAGTGATTATCACATCTCATATGTTGATAGTTCAAGGTACTTGTGACAGCCACATGGCATGTGATTATCTGCCACATAAAATGGTACATCTTCTGTGGTGCCTTAACCTTCCAAGCATGTGCTTGAAGTTTTGTGATACTAGGTTCACAAACTACAGCTTCTTCCTCCTCCCTCAATATATTCCGTGCTACCCAGTATCCAGATTTTACGGTATACTATCCATTCCTTGTATAACTCTAGCAATATGTGTCTCTTCTATGTGATGAACTTATAGCCAAACTCCTTATGAGAGGTATGTTAGGAGCGTCGATGTAATTCGCCAGCCGGTCTAGATCCCAAGAATGTGTTTGTGGATTAATATGATCGCTCACTCTCATGTTCGGATGCATGCCCGGCACAGATGGGGACGCTGCTCTTGCCGGCATGGTAGGAATCCATGGATCCTCCCAAACTCTAACCTCATATCCCGAGTGTATTTTTTGTTTGATCCCTAACAGTAGAAGTTCTCGCGCCACCAAGATACTTGTCCACACATACGATGGACTACTGACATTCAGCTGTCGCAAAGGCGAGCTCAATCGATAATACCGGCCTCTCAAAACTCGAGCTACCAGCGAATCTGGATTTTGAACCAATCTCCATAACTGCTTTGCAAGCAATGCCAAGTTAAACTCATGAATCATCCTGAACCCAATTCCTCCTTCCTCTTTAGTCAAGCATAACTTGTCCCATGTAGACCAGTGTATTCCTTTTTTTTGAGGGTTTGAGCTCCACCAGAACTGTGCAATGGCACTAGCTAAAGCATCACAAATCTCCAGCGGGAGTAGAAAGCAGGACATCACATAAGTTGGGAGCACTAATAGGATCGACTTAATCATTTCTTCCTTTCCACCTTTTGATAGCCATCTTCCCGTCCAGCATTCACTCTGTTTCGCAGCTTATCCTTTAAGAAGGCAAAAAGCTTACATTTAGACCCACTGATATCCTCTGGGATTCCTAAGTATGTACCCATTCCTCCTTCATTCTGAATCCCAAGAGTGTCTTTAATTTCTTGTCTAACATCATGGCCAATTATCTTACCAAAGAGTAGAGATGCTTTGTCAAAATTAATACATTGTCCCGAAGTCTGTCTATATTTTCTGACCACTTTCATTACTTCTTCACATTCACGGGGTTCCGCTTTACAAAAGAACAGACTATCATCAGCAAAGAGAAGGTGAGATACCGAAGGTCACGCACGCGTGATGCGCATCCCCGTTATCTTTCCTTGATTCTCTGCGTGATTTAGAAGGCTAACGAGCGCTTCCGTGCATAGAATAAAAATGAAAGGGGACAGAGGATCCCCCTGTCGCAGACCTCTCTCCGGGACGATGTTCCCTCTTGGCTGGCCATTCATGAGGACCTTATACTTTACTGATGTTACGCATCACATTATCCAAGCTATCCAGACTTCTGAAAATCCCATCTTCCTCATGGTGGCCTCGATGAAGGACCATTCTATTCTGTCATACGCCTTGATCATATATGTTTTAATGGCCATCCTCTTATTGCGTCCACTCAGTTTCAATCGTAAGGCATGGAATAACTCCTGAGCAATCATAATATTATCGGATATATGTCTCCCAGCAACAAAGGCTGACTGGGTTTCCGAGATCCGGTCCGGAATAACTTTTTTTAACCTCTGGCATAGGACCTTCGAGATTATCTTGTAACTAACATTACACAAACTGATGGGACGAAGCTGGCCCATCTGATTCGGTTTATCAACTTTTGGAATAAGGCATATGTTGGTCTCACTTAACCTAGTTGGTATCATGCCTTCAAATAAGAAATTGTTAACCATAAAAGTTAATTCATCCTTAACAATATCCCAAAATTGCTGATAGAAAAGTGCTGTCATTCCATCCGGTCCAGGTGCTTTCTCTGGGTGCATTGCAAAAAGAGCCACTTTGACCTCCCATTCAGTTATTGGAGCTATGAGATTCTCATTGTCTGTTGATGAAATGGTTGTAGACACTTCCAGATAATGCTTCCTCTATGTCCTCGAGGTTAAATGATTGAAAATGTGACGAAATAGCTCGTAGCAATGGCTACAAGGCCTTCCTCTTCCTCAACAATATTCCCATCTTCATCCATTAATTGTGTAATCATGTTCCTCGCTCTAGTCTGTTTCGTGAGGGCATGAAATAACTTTGTATTTGTATCTCCTTCCCTTAACCAAAAAATCCTACATTTCTGCTTCCAGAACATCTCTTCCGCCTTAAGAGCGTAAGACAGTTCCTTTAAAGCAACTGCAATCTCTTCAGTAGTGGCGTCATCATTGGAAGAAAAATGGTCCACCTTTTCTTTCAGCTCTTCCACACTCTTCTCCGCATTGAGATTATGTTGCCTCTTCCAATCACATAAGGCTCGTCGACAACTTGCAATATGCTCCATGATACTTGCGATTGAAGGAAGATCAGATGATTTCTAACCCTCAAGTATGATCTGCCTAAGATCCCCATTATATAGCCATCGCTTATCAAATTTTAAATTTTTTGATCTTCTTGGTTTCTTTTTAAGAATCAGCTAAGATTGGACGATGATCCGATCCCCATAGCCTAATATACTTCACTTTGGAATGAGGGAACTTCTCGTGCCAGTCCTCATTCCCAACAGCTCGATCAAGGCGGCATCTGATAGTAGACCTCCCTGCCTTATTTCCAACCCAAGACAGCATGTTGCCGGTGAAAGGGAAATCCACCATCCCACAATCGCTCAGCATTTGCTTGAATGGTAAGAAAGAACTGTCGGTTCTTTGTCTGCCTCCCTCCTTCTCCTGATGGCAAGTTATTTCATTAAAATCACCTATCATAAACCAAGGTACATTTCATGTTGTTGAGAAATGCGTAAGATGTTCCCAAACTAAATCTCTGCGTTCCACTACAACGTCCCCATAAACAAATGTCATATAGAATTTTATTCCATCAATGTCTGCCTCAATGTCAATCATTATGTTATTTGAAAATAAAACATTAACTTGAAATTCATCCATCAAAAATAAAGCTAAACCTCCGCTTAGTCCAAGTGGCTCAACGGTAAATAAACGATCAAATCCTAAGTCGGTCTGAATGTCTTGCAACAGCAGCCTCCTATTCTTCGTCTCAGAGAGAAACACAAATCTTGGGCGATGCTTCTGACACATCTCCGTAAGGCGTCGAACTGTGAGGTTGTTTCTAACCCCTTGACAGTTCCAGCTGATTGTCCTCATTGATAGGTGGATGGATTTTTGGGATCCATCAAACCACCATCTTTTGTTGAAGCCTCCACTGTCCTCTTAGAAGTAGCGTGATGACGCCGTGATCTATCTTTACCGCCCTGCCTATGAGTTGATTCTATAATCCCTTTAATGCGTGGAGAACCTTTACGGAGATACTCAGGTTTGGAGGGTCGACTCCCCGAAGAGAGAGCCGGCCTTGCCCGTGTGGAGTTTGACTTTTCCTTAGGTCTAGTCGCATCTTCAAGCTCCTGAAGTTCCTCATCAAGAAGATTGTCGCGTTCCAGATCATCTCCATCACCATCATGCTGATGTACTTCCATGTCTCTCAATGCCCCTATAACTTGATCTTTGCTTTCAGGTGCCGTGTTTGTGTGTGGTGAGAAACATAGAATCTTTGCTCCACTTTTCCTCCTGATCATCACATTATCCTGATTGTCATATCTATAAGATGTGTTATGATCTCACATTAAATATTGAGAAAAGGCCCTCGATAGACCGAAACCAAGTTTTTGTTCCCAAACTAGCACTTAAAACTCAAATTCACAAAAATATGTTTCATTAATATGAACATTTTACCACAGTATCCATTTCTTTCTTTGTTTAATTACAATCTTTTTTTCTGGGGAAATAGAAAGAGATCGATCACTGATCGAGATGGTAATCACGAGACGGCGACAGCTTCTCTTATCTCCGCCGTCGATCATCTCTCAGTTCTGCCATCATCGTTGTTCTCTAGATCTGCAACAATCACTCTCAGCTTTGTCAAAATTCAGTTACAACAGTCTTCCTCATCTCCCCTGTCTATGATCTCCTTCAGCTATGTCGTCGACGTTATCCTTCAGCTATGTAGTCGACGTTATCCTTCAGCTATGTCGTCGACGTTATCCTTCAGATCCACCATCGACTCTCTCTCTCTCTTACTTTTTTCGATTGCTAAATGAGATTTGTGTTGATTTGTTTAATGAAAGATTAGACTGGTATGTCCATGATGAAGAACGGCAACTTATCTATATGTTGGATGAATTGCAGGTAACTTACATCAATTTATCTTCTTCTTTTTTTTTGCTTTTGACTCATCAAACAATTTGACCTAAAAATTTGCTCGTTGGTTAGTCTTTGGTGAGGCTTTAATTGTGTGTGTTCAAAACGTTTACAAGCATTTTCTCTTTCTGATGCGGCATTTTAGAAAGCTTTGTTTTTTCTTTTCTTTCTCTCCTTATATGTGCTGTTGTTTGTTATATTCAGAGAGATGAGTTAGAGTCGGAGATGCCAGTTCCAACAGATGGCTGGCTTCTTCTTTACGTGGAAAGAAGTAAGGGTCTTTTTCCCCCTAGTTTTGAAATCAACAACCTTTTATCTTTCATTTTAATGGAACTCTTTTTTTTGTATAACAACAGCAAGAAACATAGACTGGATGAGGCATGTCTCGAAAGGTGTCAGGAATACACTCGCACACTAATACAATCATGGATCTTACAAGGTACATAGATGTTTATGTTATTCGTCTTGAACAAAATACATAGAAGTAGCTTTAACTCTAGTGTACGTATGTTATTTAGGCAAAGTGTTAGTGGATGAGAAAAGAGCTAGTAAAGCTGGAAAGCCTGTAGCCAATGGTGTCTCCATTAAGATTACTGCTGAGGTTCCCAAATATGTATGTAGGTGATGATTCTTACCCTGTCTTTACATGGTTTCCTTAGTGCTTTGAGATCTTTTTTTTTTTGTCGAGTTTCCTCTCTCTGTTGTCTTCAACTTGCAGAGGTGGGCTTAAGCTGGAAGCTGGAATAGAGAAGCTAGATTTTGATGTTTCTGAGAAAGTAGTTCTTGATTCTGGATTTTCTACTGGAGGGTTTACAGATTGTTTGCTTCGTTATGGTGCAGCTCATGTGTATGGTGTTGATGTTGGTTATGGTCAGCTGCTAAGTCTTTTTCCTTTTTTTTTTTGGTTTTGTAAAGTCATCCAGAATATGTACAATGCTTTCTTGTTACATTTAGAAATTTGAAAATTTTCAATAATCAACATAAATCTCCAACCGTTTTTCTTTGGCTCTGAACCAATATGAGACTTCAGCTCCCCATCGCATTACTATCCTGTGTAATCAAGTAAACAATATTTCAAAAAAATTTAACACCGAATTTTGAGGAAAACTTTTCTGAAACTGTACAAATCCTTCCTGAAACTATACAAATCATTCCTGAAACCATACAAATTTTTCCTGAAAAAAACACAGTTTCACAGGCACAAGAAATCATTTAGAAATGTCATCAGAAAATTCACATATTGTACCAAAAATATCATTTATTAAAATCGAATTTTCTGAATGCTTTCTTGAAACTAGATAAATCATTCCAGAAATTTAAAAAAAAAAACACCACTCAGTTTCACAAGCAAAAGCAAGAAACTGACAATGTCATAAGAAAATTCATGAGCCTACCAAAGATATCATTATGCGTAAGCCAAACAATAAGACACCAAGCAAAAAAAAAATCAAATTTATTAACATCAAATTTTCTGGAAAGCTTTCGCGGAACTACATAAATTCTTCCAAAATTAGCTAAGTATACAAAGAGAGAGGAAAAAAAATATGTTAATGCTTTTCACTTGATATAAACATAGATTAATGATTACGCTGATCTCCATGGTTAAGATTTAACTACTTGCCCATTTCTTCAAGTTTTCTGGAAACTCATCCTAAATATTTTATATGCTATCATGAATAGGTGACATGTACTTTTGTAAATGTATACATTTAAATGTATCATGAAAAGTATAGTTGAAGTTGTTCCTCCAATCTCCATAAGAAATACTCATAAAGTAAGAAGTTTCTTCGGCAAGATTAAAGGATTTCATGGAATTTGTCGTTGTGTGTACATAATTCAAACTTTTTTGGAAGGATTTCCTGAAACTAGACAAATGTTTCCTAAAATTTTTATAAATACTAGACAGTTTCACAAGCACGAGAAAAAAGAGACTAATAAGTAAATTCAATAGCCTATCAAAGATATCAACATGCCTAAGCAGAACATGACACCAAACAAAAAAAGTTTCAAAATTTGTTACCATCCGAGTTTCTGGAAAGTTTTCCTGAAAATACACAAACTTTATAAACTTTAATCATCTTCACCTTTTAGACTCACAAGTTTTAAACCGGTACACTGTTCGATGTAGGTGTGAATTGGATCATCAAAGCGGATAGGTATAGAAATATTAAGTTTTGTTGTCTTCAATCTAAAGCCGCAGAGCCGTATCTAACAGTGAGTGGAGTCACTAAGGAGGATATTGAGAAGCGATTTGTCTTTGTTGACGGTCTTGGCTCCTACCATCAAGCATCAACAGGTATATAAATCTTCTTTACAATTTTCACAATTAGGAGTTTTACTGAAAACATTTGTATTGTTTGATATATTTTCAATAGCCACTATAATTAGTGTAGTAAGTTGTGCTTCTTGCGTGAGCACTTGAGCTTTGCAGAGATGAACTCACTCTGAGGAATATCATATAGTGGGTACAACTGTTAAGAAGGTTTACTTTGATCAAAGGTATATTTAGGATTATATGTTTGAGTGTAGAAAAATGTTTTATGTAAAAAGGGAAAAGCTTTTTTATTCCCTGAATATCATTAAAAAGACTCAAGGGAGAACTCTTAGTATAGAGAGAAGTAGTCTCGGCTGATTAGTTGTGGTAGATGGATTTAGTCGCTTTAGTGATAAGCTTAGTTGTTGCATAAATGAATGAATCAACTGAAATATTCTCTGCTTATGTCAGATGGTTGCGTAATGACTAGTTATGTCTTGTGATGTTGAAATCTTGAGTTCTTGTCATGTGCTTGCGTAGTGACTGCTTATGTCAATGATTTTTCCTGCAATATTTGGATTCCATGATTAAAGTGTTTTCTCTTTCAAATCTATTGTGTATTAATCTTCTGATTGTATATATTTTTGACTATGCAGCTGCACTTAGAATGGTATCATACTTGTCTATGCCTTACTCTGCATTGAACGCTTTCTCCATTGTTCCAACTCCGCTGAGAGACTAAACTCGGTGTATGACTATGTGGCCAACCATCGTTATAATGGTTTGGAAAATCTAAGGATTGCTTAGTTTTGAAAGACCAACAGCTGCTTGAGCGGTTTATAGACAGAGATGAACTATTTATAACGAATCTCCATTTCTATTGTTATCTTAAATAATCAAGCAAAAGAGTAATTTTGTTGTTGTTAATTTAAGATATTCTGGAAGGCTTTCCTAAAAGCTTACTACATTTTCCTAAAATCATGAATTTCCAAAGTTTCTGGACGGCTTTTCAAAACTATTATACATTCTTCCTGAAATCAACATAACAAAGCTGCCTTCTTCAGATTTTTTTTTTGTTAAGAAATATGTGCACGAGCATTTTTGTGATACAACACATAGGAATGCTAACCACATACAAGTTCATTTCAAGGGTTTGTTGATGATTTACACGTTTATATTACCGATTAGTAGGTGTCGTTTGTTTGATGATTACGTGATATGCACCATACCACATTTACAGTTTCTTTTGAAAGCACATCCTAAACATGCTAAATGCTTTCCAAATTTCAGAATTATTTATGGAAGCCCTTCCAGAAATTTTCAAATGCCTTCCAAGTTTTTTTAGAGCACATGTTTATACAGTTAAGGTTTAAATATATTTATTCGATACTAACAGATTATTCTCCTCATCCTAGCGGCTAAAACACTACTCTTACATGAAAGTCACATTTCCCGCGAGTTCGATATCCCTAGGAAGCATAATTATTTTCTTGTAGCCCATCCAGAAATTACCAAATGCCTTCCAAGATTTTCTAGAAAACATGTATAAACAGTTAAGGTTTAAATATATTTATGTGTTCAATACAAACAGATGATTCTCCTCAGCCTGACAGCTAAAACACTACTCTTACATGAAAGTCATATGCCACGCGAGTTCGATACCCATAGGAAGCAGAATTATTTTCTGGAAGCCCATCCAGAAATTACCAAATGCCTTCCAAAACCCGCCTTCGGTCCCTTTGGAAACAACACCTTTTTCTGTTTTAATTAAATATAAATATGTTGTTTATATCAGGTTAATTATAACAATTTGCAAGTATAACACCCTTGGCATAACAGCTGCACACTAGGATTCTCTTTTCTAGAGTTTCTGGGTTCAATCTTGATACTTTCACAATTAATTCCCTTTTTGAAGTAAAGTCTTATGCTTACTTATTTTATTTTCTGGAAACTCATCCTAAAAATACCATAAGCTATCCGAGATAGGATATGTTTGTTTATTATGATAACACATTTTAACCCTTTCTTGATAGAATTACTGACAATACTTCAAGACATCCAAAAATTTCTTTAATAACAACTTAAATGAAACAAACGTCGTCATCATTCATTACAAACTTCTTACTTGTCCAAGTCAACATCAAAATTCAAAAACATAGTGTTATCATGACATGTATTGAATCTTCCATCGTGTTGCTGTCATCCGTAACCAAGCCAAAAAAAATCATATTTTTCAGCATCAGATTTTCTGGAAAGCTATCCTTAAACACTGAAACACCTTCCTAAATTTTTTATTTTTTAAAAAAATTATGGAAAGCTATCCTGAAACTTTGAAACACCCTCCTGAAATTAAAATATTAGTAGCCTTGATATCTCTGTGTACAAACTTCAACGGGGATTCCTTAGAGAGAAACGCTAGACCTTTTTATAAACACTAGATAGTTTCACAAGCACGAACACTAATAAGAAAATTCAACAGCCTATTAAAGATATCAACATGCCTAAGCAAAACAAGACACCAAGAAAAAAAAAGTTTTAGAATTTGTTACCATCCGAGTTTCTAGAAAGCTTTCCTAAAAATACACAAACGCTTACTGGAAACTTTATAAACACATACAGTTTCACAAACACCAGCAACAAAATACTAACAATGTCATAAGCAACATTTTCTAAACACATTCAATAGATGCAAACACACAAGAATATGTTAAAATGCATCACAAGCACAAGCAGAAAGAGACAAACTTTTATTTTCTACATTTGTCAAAATCCAATTTTCAGGAAGGCTTTCCTAAAACAATATAAACTCTTCCTGAAGCGAGAAAAAGAAAATACCTCAAAGAGATAGAGCTCTGGAGATGGTTTCCGTCGGAGAAGATTTGAGCTTCAACAACTTTGTGTTCCCACAATTTTAAAAGGCTTTGATTTGAGCTCCAACAACTTCGTGTTCCCACAATTTTATATGGAAAACAAATGCAAGCTTCTCGGGTTAATAGTTATTCTCTTCAGTTACAGAGAGTACCAAACAAATCAAAATAAACTTTTCGACTAGAAAAGCTAAGCTAAACAAATCAAATTCAACATTCAATAAAGTTGAACAAACAACAAATGAATATGTAAAGTAGAAATCAAAATTAAAAGCCTTAATTTCATAATCCCCAGATTTTAAATCAAAACCCTAATTTCAAAAACTTACATCGTGATTTGTTTCCAACGTGATTTGTGTCCGATTTTGAGAGTAAAGAGTGTGATGGTGGTGGTTCAGTGCGGTTTTTCTCCGGCGGCGTCTCAATAGAGACCTCAGTGTCAAGAGAGGAGGAACACGATTCGAGAGAGGACATACACGATTTGATAGACCTCGAATCTTCGTTTGGTTCGTCGAAGATGAAGTCAGTCTTCTTCGCCGGAGACGATTGAGGCTACGATTCGCCGGTGAGTATATGAGGTTTCGCAAAAGAGAGAAATGAAACGCGATGTGTTTCTTTTTTTCTGCTTATTTTGTGAATTATAACACAAGGGTAGTAAGGACATTTAGTAGAGAGTAAATATGTGTGTATATTTTACTCTATCTAAATAATAACCAGATGAAAAGATATAAATTATTTTGTCACTTGATTAACAAATTTATAGAGTAACTCGGAGTAAAAAGTATTTTACCTAATTTTTAATTTTTTTTAATATAAAAAAATTATTTTATTATTCAAACTTGAGGTGGTATATGAAACCAGACAAGAATAAAACAACCAACAAAAGATAACTGACGATAAAAATTACGAGCAATTCTATCTAAACCATCTGCAGTCCGATTTTGCGTCTTTGGTGTGTATGAGATCTTGAATTCTGGAAATATGCCCTTCATTGAAGTGAACTCTCCTAATTCTGTGGAATACCTCAGTCAATCCTTTGAATTCTGAATCATTGTCATTACGTTCTTGCAGTGCATCTCAAAATACTGGCAATTGGTGTTCTGACTCATGCTCTCCATTGCCCAAATCAAAGCCTCTAGTTCTGCATGCAAAGAAGACATACGGTTCTCTTTTTTTTTAGTCCTAAGAGTTGACCCACCCTTGCAACCCAGCCATATCCACTGCGGTATGCTTCAGTTGTCCATGATCCATCCTCCAAACAGATATTTTGCAAGCTTAGGACTTGCAACTCCATGTGTGCTGCTTGATTCACCTCTGCGGTTTTTGTATTTGTTTCAAACCAAGCGTTGCATTCGCTTTATGCATGTCTGACTAGTTCAAACGGATCTACTGAGATACCTCTGAAGAGTTTGTCATTTTGCGCTTTCCATAGATAGCAAATAATCCATGGGCAGGGGTCCTTATCTAGGTCAGGATCTTCAATCTCATTCTTTCTCCAAAACAGATAGCCCAAGTTTGTAAATATGCTCGATATTCTCGGACACGATGGTGTCGAGGTAAGGGACATGTTTGTAACGCCGGTGCACATTCAATAATAGCGTGGTTAGCTGATTCATCAGGTTCTCCACATCTAGGGCAATATTTGTCGCAACGTATATGACGTAGTGTTAGGTTTCCCGTGACCGCTACATATCCAGATACTAGTTGCCATATAAAATGGTGGATCTTCTATGTGCATGAATTTTCCATGGAAATACCTTTAGGAATTTTGTACTTGGTTCCTCCACCATTTCTTCAGTCTCACGATTCAGAATATTCCTCGCAACCCAGTATCCTGATTTCACCGTGTACATCCCATTTTGAGTATAACTCTATCAGTACTTGTCTTCACTATGATATTGCCTTATGACCAAACTCCGGATGAGTGGAATGTCTTCCTGATTAATCAGATGCTCCAGCATCTCCACATTCAACACTTTTGGAGATCCATGAATCTGATCACTCACTATCATTCTCGGATTTACCATCTGGTTAGTTGCTCGAGCCGGTCTAGCCAGGACTAAGGGTATTCACAGATCCTCCCAAACACGTATCTGGTACCCTGAATGAACTTTCTGATTGATTCCCAACATTAAAGGGGCCATCAAACTTGTCCATACATAAGATGGGGAAGATGCCTCTATCACCCGTAACGGCAGACTCTATCGATAATACATGCCTTGCAATACTCTCGCAAGAACAAAATCGGGAAACTGAACCAATCTCCACAGTTGTTTTGTCAATAAAGCCAAATTAAATTCATGACCAGCCTAAATCTGGTTCCTCCTTCCTCCTTTGGAATACAAAGCTTATCCTATATTGCCTAGTGCATGCCTCGCTTTGGTAGATTCGAGCTCCACCAGAATTTAGCTATTTCACTCGCTAATTTATTACATATCTCTAATGGGAGAAGGAAGCTAGACATTACATATGATGGTAGAGTTAATGCAATGGCCTTTATCAGGACTTCTTTTCCTCCACATGACAGCCAACTAGCTGACCACCCATTGATTCTATGATCTAGCTTATCCTTTAGGAAAGCGAAAATCTTGCATTTTGACCCACTAATGTCCTCTGGGATTCCCAAGTAAGTACCTATATCCCCCTAATTATTAATATACAAAGTATCCTTTATCTCTTTCTTAATATTTTCATGGAACCTTTTGCCAAAAACAAGCGAGGACTTCTCAAAATTAATATGCTGACCAGAAGCCTTTTCGTAGACCTTTACAACTTTCATAACTTCACCGCATTCATGGGTCTCTGCCTTGCAAAAGAAAATGCTATCATCAGAAAATAACAGGTGAGATACTGAGGGGTTAGTGTGAGAAACACG